AGCCTTCCATCCTTCCAAGGTTGGTAAAAGTTATACTTTGTACGTTGGGAGGCAAGTTGTTGTTTGCACAATTATGTTGTCAGCTGCCCAGGGAGTGCTTTAAGTGGGTTGGGTTGGTCTATAAGTTGAAAGAACAACAACAATCTGAGCATTGGACAACCTTTCTTCAGAGACAAAGTTGCCCTATGTGAGGATACTAAATTCTTAGGATGGTACATTTTCCCTTCCCCTGCAGGGAGTGCTTTAAGCATTATGGGTTGGTCTATAAGTTGAAAGAACAACAACAATCTGAGCATTGGACAACCTTTCTTCAGAGACAAAGTTGCCCTATGTGAGGATACTAAATTCTTAGGATGGTACATTTTCTTTCTCCTTCCCCTGAATTCCCAGATCTCTCAAACTTACTCTGTACAGTAACCTTTATACAGAAGTGTATAAATGGCAGCAAGAGAAACTGGGGGAAAGTGACCATATTCTATTAGAGTTCTTGACTTCCAAAAAGGAAAAAGGAAAAAAAAGCAGAATGTAGCCACACATATATGCTGGATTTTAGGAAAGCCAATTTTAATAAATTCAGAACAATTGTAGGTAAGGGACCATAGTAGGAAATCCCAACAGGAAAAAGAATCGAAAAAGGATGGGAGTATCTTAAAAAGGAAATTCTAAAGGCACAGCTACAAACAGTTCCAACAAGAAAAAGGACAGCAAAAAAGACCAATGTGGCTTCACAAAAAGCTCAGATAGAATCTAAAAATTAAAAAGGACATATATAGGGATTGGAAGGAAGATCAGGCTACAAAGGAAGAGTACAGACAAGTAGCAAGGAATTGCAGGGATGATGTTAGGAAGGCAAAAGCTGAGAATGAGCTGAGGTTAGCAAGACGTGCTAAAAACAACAAAAAGCATTTTTCAGGTATGTCTGTAGCCAAAGACAGAGAAAACAAACAGTGGCTCTGGTTCTCACAGGGATGAAAAAAATGATAACAGATGACAAAGAAAAGGCAGAAGTGCTCAATTCCTACTTCAGTTCAGTCTTCTCCCAAAAGACATCCTATGCTCTTCCAAGCAAATGTGAAGTACAAAGGGAGGGATAGGATCGCAGCTTGAGATCAATAAACAGTCAAGGAGTGCCTTGCTACTTTAAATGAGTTCAGATCCCTGGGCCTGATGAACATCCAAAAATACCAAAGGAACTGGGTGAAGGTTGCAGAACTACTGTCTACTATTTTCCTGAGATCATGGAGGATGGGTGACATGCCAGATGACTGGAGAAGAGCTGACATTGCTATCTTGAAAAAGTCAAAAAGGAGGAACCAGGAAACTACAGACTGGTCAGCCTAACATCAGTCCCAGGGAAAATTCTGGAGCAGATTATACAGCAGCCGCTATGCAAGCAACTTGAAAACAATGCAGTAATAACTAGAAGCCAACAAGGATTTAGCAAGAACAAATCCTGCCAGACTAATCTCGTCTCATTTTTTTTGATCGCATAACCTCCCTGGTAGATGGTGGAAATACTGCAGATGTAATAACTTCAGCAAACTCTTTGCCCATCTCTAATCATCAAGTACAGCCCCTGTCAAGGAAGCACAGTAGAGAATCAAACTCCCCAATCTCTGTCTCCACAGCAAGAGATCTAAACCACTGAGCTATCCAGCAATTCAATTATGTCTTTATATTCTTGTTATTGGTCTTTGCCTGGTAGATGGTGGAAATACTGCAGATGTAATAACTTCAGCAAACTCTTTGCCCATCTCTAATCATCAAGTACAGCCCCTGTCAAGGAAGCACAGTAGAGAATCAAACTCCCCAATCTCTGTCTCCACAGCAAGAGATCTAAACCACTGAGCTATCCAGCAATTCAATTATGTCTTTATATTCTTGTTATTGGTCTTTGTTTGTTTTTCCATAAAACGCCTACCTGTAAGTTATCACTTTTACTCAGTAGTCACACACTTTCATAGTAAACTCCTGTCTCCAAGGTTATTTTCCTAAGGTAAAAGGTATTGACATCTACATGTAGACAATGAAGATTTTAAGTAAGCCTTCTTCCTCTTCCCTTTCTCTGTCTCCCTCACTTATGTAAATATATCTTAATACATTCTGATTGTATTATTTATTTGTACTTTATTATTTTTATTTTCTGTTCTGTCAAACTGGTATTTTAATTATGCTGCTGTGTGTTTTGCTGTAAACTTCCCAGAATGGCCCTTGGCCAGATGGTATCAGGAACTTGGGATGTGGAGATGGTCCAACCAAGTCAGTATTGCAGGTCAACAGCAAAGACAATCTCAGAGATGGTAGATTCCTTCAGCAGCAGTGTACAAAATATGTATATCAGAACTATGTACATCAGTCAGCAGAGTGAACATGGCTATAGGTCTTATGGTAGAGATAATTACTTAGATGGTGTCATGTGCAAAATGCTCCAAGTCAAAAGTCAGTCCCATACACAGAAAAAGCTTTCTATGTAGAGTTGCTGCACAAAGTGCTGTCCATTGATTTTACTGATAAGTGTATTGTTTATGAATAAATAAATAATTATTATGCCTTGGAAAGAGATAATATTCCTGAAAACTGACACACTTTCTGTGTCTTTTCAGTTGAGTTCTATCACTACAGTATGGAATTTAGAATTTATTTTGAGCCAGCACTCCTACCTGTTCCACCAAAGATTGATCCAACACAAAGAAAATACAGTCAGTCCTCAATTTACGAACTTAATCCGTTCCGGAAGGACATTCGTAAGTTGAAAAGTTAGTAAGTCGAAGCAAAATTTCCCATAGGAATGCACTGAAAACCAATTAATCTGTTCTGGCTGTTTTTGGTTCTTAGGTCGAGGGGCAGTTTGTAAGTCGAAGCATTAGTTCCCATAGGAACTAATGCAAAGCCAGTTAATCCATTCCTACCACTAGGAGGAGAATTTTTTTCCTTTTAAGATGACTTAGGTTTTTAAAAAAGGAAAGAAAAGAGGGAGGGAAGGAGGGAACAGACACCTTTACAACAGAACACCTTGAAAAGTTAAAATTTCATGCTTTCCCCGCCTCCTGCATGTTTTTTCCGTTCGTAACTCGGAGCAAAGTTCGCAAGTCAAGTCCATGTTTTCCTGTCAGAGTGGTTCATGAGTCGAAATGTTCGTAACTAGGGCTGTTCGTAAGTCAAGAGTTGACTGCATAGGGCACATCTACACTAGCATTTGTGGAGTGAGCTGGTGCAGGCTAAAAAAGGGTTGCTTGGAATCATGCAGAGGTGCCATCTGTCCTTTACCTTAAATCCAAATGGCACATTGGAGCTCAGGCAGGTTTATTTATCCTGGCTCCTTCTGTACATCAGTCAGCAGAGTGAACATGGCTATAGGTCTTATGGTAGAGATAATTACTTAGATGGTGTCATGTGCAAAATGCTCCAAGTCAAAAGTCAGTCCCATACACAGAAAAAGCTTTCTATGTAGAGTTGCTGCACAAAGTGCTGTCCATTGATTTTACTGATAAGTGTATTGTTTATGAATAAATAAATAATTATTATGCCTTGGAAAGAGATAATATTCCTGAAAACTGACACACTTTCTGTGTCTTTTCAGTTGAGTTCTATCATCACAGTATGGAATTTAGAATTTATTTTGAGCCAGCACTCTTACCTGTTCCACCAAAGATTGATCCAACACAAAGAAAATACAGTCAGTATAATAAAGAGAATAATGTTCAATTGTTTGAGGACAACTGGGAGGGCGGAATAAGATTAAAATCTTTATCAGTCATAACTATACAAAAATTTCCCTAAACTCTGCCTCCAAGTATCCCACCTTTGCTATCCTGCTGTGCATCTCTTGCGCCTTGTCAGACTTTTCCTCAATATATTTCCTCAGCAAAAGAATCTGACACTCCAGAAACTTGCAGAATCCATGGTTAGCATAGAGTGAAGCACTTGTTCTCCTTACTAGCCTTCTGGCCTGTTCAAATGGATGTGCAAAGTTCTCCCAAAGTTGAAGTCTAGCAAACCTATAAGATAAATCTTAATCAATTATATTTTAAGTTGGAGTAACTCAACCTTTCATCTTCTAACTATGTGAAATCTGAGCTCTGATTTTCCACATCAATGGGCATGAAGGTTTCAAATGTTACATTTTAAGGACTGTGAATGTGAACATCTTCAAATATACATATGCAAGAGAATGTCCCAAATGCATCCAGTCGCACTTAGAAAGGAGCTGGTTCATTTTCAGCCAAACAGATATTCAACGGTTCCCAGCCCCACCTCTTCCAGTGGGTGCCCACTCAGGGGCAGCACCTTGGCATCTCTGCCCCACATCCTTCAGGCTCTGCCTGAGTGGGCAGAAAATGAGCCAGCACGAACTGGCAGTTTGTGCCCATCACTATCTATGTTCCAAATCTGGTAGCAAGTAAACTCAGCAATGCCCCAGTATAAAATACTCAAAATATGGACTATTTTGCATGATATGCTGCAAGGATTTTCTTTACCATTTTATATTGTTTTGAGGAAACTATACCTCCTCTTTCAAAAACCATGCTAATGGTATGGGAGGAAAGGTGAACCTTGGTAACTGATAAATGTGTGGATTGTAGAATGGGTTTTTTTGGGGGGAAAGGCAATATAGACTCACTACTTGTGAGTAGAAACTCTTGTCAGGTTTGTTGTTATTCAGCATAAATGTCCTGCCTAATTAATTTGCTTCTCCCCAGTTTATAATTAAAATAAGCTATATAGTCAATGTGCTGTTTTAAATAACAACAGTACTCTCTGTGATTCCAGTAGGAAAGACAGTGGTACGTTGCTCCTGTGTTCCAGATATTTCTTCTGCTACCTAAGCCTAATAGGTTGCTGAGCTGAACTCTGTTGGGCCCTGGATTAATATATAAATCATGTAACAAAGGATACCTCTCCATCCCTGTCAACATATTATATGCCACACAACTGCTTTGCAAAATGTTGCTTCTCCAGCTGATGTTTCAATAGCATTCCCTTTTCTTTTTCCAGCCACGCATACCATTCTTGGTCAGCTCACAGTGCCAAAGCATTAATACAAGCGATATGTTCTGCAGTTCTAGAACTGAGAAGAGGACCATCAAATGTTAAACAGTACCAATTTGCCAGAGAAGAGTAGAGGCCAATCATGATGTTGTTTTGAGACATGAGAATGCAGTTAGTTTGATTGGAGACAAGAAAGTCTAGGCAGTACTGAAACGGCTTAAATGAAAAACCTGCAGAAGAAGACAAATAAGTAAGTAAGTAAGTGTCTCTGCCTCACTGAGATTTGTCTGTACTAGCCAAAGATTCTAGTATTACATTTATCTATCTATCTATCTATACCAGGTAGGTGGTATAAAAGTCATCCATCCATCCATCCATCCATCCATCCATCCATCCATCCATCCATCCATCCATCCATCCATCCATCCATCCATTTATTCATTTATTTATTTATTTATTTATTTATTTATTTATTTCACCTCCTGACTAGATCGGGTGATACGGGTAGATTTTGGTGGGAGTAGGCGTTCTGCCAAGTATCAAGGCCCCAAACCATTTAGGGCTTTGTATGTAAGCATTAAAACTTTGAAGTCAATGCAGAACTGAATGGGCAGCCAATGCAACATGGGCAGAGTAGGAGAGATATGGTGATATTTTCTCACTCCACTAAGGAGTCTGGCCGCCGCATTTTGCACCATTTGGAGTTTCCGCATCAGCCTCAAAGGTAGCCCCATGTAGAGCGCATTACAGTGGTCTAATCTCAAGATTATGAGCTCATGTACCAAAGTGGTTAGTGCCCCAACATCAAGATAGGGACACAGCTGGGCTATCTGCCAAAGATGAAAAAAGGCGGTACGGACCACTGACACCACCTGAGTTTCCATGGTGAGCGCCGGGTCCAGGTGGATCCCCAAGCTGCGAACCTCACTCTTTGCAGTAAGAATCATGCCCCACAAATGTGAGTTTCCCAGACCGCTGATGGTGGGGCCACCCACCCTCAGGACCTCCATCTTGTCTGGGTTCAGCCTCAGCCCATTTTCCTGCATGCATTGCAGCACAGACTCCAAGCAGCACTGAAGGGACAGAACGGCATCACCTGTAGTTGGTGAAATTACTGTATATGGTAGATATTACTGTTATATGCTCTCAAACTATCTCCCAGAAGGTCCTATCATTAATAGTCCACTTCAGGTCCTGCATGGTAAAGTCAATAGCTTCTTTAATTCAGTCAATCTGTTAGGTTTTTCTTTTTTCCGATTTCCTTCAACTTCATAATGGCAAAAGAGGATGGCTCTCTATCCTTACTGAAAGAAATCCTAAAGTGAGACCATTTGCCAACCAGATCTTTATGTTATGGACTGCTTGATAAAATTTTGTTCTGTAGCCAAGGAATTTTAAGGGCCAGAATACATAATTCATTTGCAGAAGGAGTGTTTCCTTAAGTGCCGAAAAAGAAGTAATTGTGAAAATTAAAAGAAGATGCATATGTGACTGAGATAATCTCAGGAATATAAACAATGGCTCCCTTTACATGTTTAATGCCAGAGTCACAGATAACAAAGGCAATAATGTAGCTGGGGAGAAAATTTGTAAGAGCAGGAAAAATATATATTTGGCTCTGAGGCATGAGCATTTAAATGGCCATGTGTCATTCCTGACAAACACTCTAATTAACTTCAAGGACCATCTGTCTCAACCGGTCAAATGGCCGTTCTGCATAGTTCCGTGCAGAATATGAGGGAGTCATTCCTTGTGACCAGCAATGGCCAGAACAGTTCTATTTATTCCTGCATAGGGTATGTCATTACTCATACCTTCCTGCTAGGACCAAACTGGAACTGGAAGAGGTGAAGGAACTGAAAGATTAATCTCTGTGCACTGTATTGCTGCTTACATTAGTAGGTGTTACATGGATGCTCATGGTTCCCAAGACAACTATGTGGAGGCCGCCAAAGGGTTGGAGGAACCAAAGCACAACAACTGGCTTAATCCCTTTCTACTAGAATAATCCATCTGTTATGAATCAAATAGCTCTGGGAAACACTCATGGAGAAGAAGTGTGTTGTGGATCATAGACCAGGAAAAGATGGAATACAGTAATTCCATTGCCATCAATCTGCTCCGTTGGGCTCTAACCACAATAAAAACATTTTGCTTGGCTCCCTGTTGGAGATTCCACTGATAACCTGAACTTTTTAGTCACCATGTAATTTCTTGTTTCAGACACATGTATCAGACACACTTTGAACATCTGCTGAGACATACCTGCATAAAGCATGAGATTTAAGCAGCTAGAAATGAAAGCAGCTTGTGCAATGACATTGTCATCTTGAATGGAGAGTTCTTCTAGCCAACTGAGCACTAGTACAGCATCCTGGTATCTAGGGAGAAGTAGATAGCAATAAAAAACTTCAGGAATTTCTAAAAGTTTCTTCCTTAAAAAGTTGGCTTGATTTCTTATGACACCTGAGTGGCTGTATTTTACAACATCGCAACTACTTCACAGACACCAGGAAACGTCCAAAATGGTTACTTAGATTTCTGGTTAAAACTCGTATCTGTTATACAATACCAGTAAACGTTTTGATAATTTTGATTGGTTGTCCCCAATGATTTTTAACAACAACAATAACACAACTACAATAATAATACCAGTAAATCGTGGATAATGCAAATACAGCAGGTAATAGAGGAAAAGTTAAATTGCAGTGCAATTTAACCACTTAAAAATTCTACAACTGAAGATGGATGACAACAGGCCACACACTTCTGATAATAAAGATCATTAAAAGGGCAACAAACCCAGTAATTATCAACCAATTACATGCCTTCCAACAATGTTCACGCTGACACAGGAGTACTTGCAAGATGTATCTAAACACTTAACTGAAAACTCCCTATACCCAACTGAACAGAAAGGACACTTTAAAAAGTCAAGAGGCACAAATGATCAGCTGCTTATTGATAAAATGATACTGAAGAATTAAAAAAAGACGAAAAACAAACCTTAACATGGCCTAGATAGACTATAAAAAGGCATTTGTCTCATTTACACACAGCTGGATTAACACCTGCCTAAAAATGTTTGGGATTAATTAAAAACATTCAGACGTTCCTCAAGAAAAACATGAAAAAATGGAAAACTATCTTAATGGCCTATGGTGAAGAAATCGGGGAAGTTAGCATCAAAAGAAGAATGTTTCAAGGGGATTCTTTGTCACCACTGCTGTTTAGCATCTCACTAATCTCCATGTCAATAATTTTAAGTAAAACTGGATTGGGTTACCATATTTTACAACAAGCTGAAAAAAAATCAAATGAAATATGGCAAGGACAAATGTGCAGCTCTGTCTATACACTGTAGCAAGATCCAAAAACTAGATGGAAGAGAGTTTTAAAAAGGTAATATTATAAAACCACTATCAAGTGATGAAAATTATAAATACCCTGGAATACTAGAAGCAGATAACATCCTGTTCACAAAAGTTAAAGAACTGACAGAAAGAGAATACTGTATATCAAAAAACTGCAGAAAATCTTAAAATCAAAATAAAATTTGAAATACAATCAAAGCCATACACACATTGGCAGTTCCAGTAATTAGATAACCAGCTGGAATAATAGACTGGGTACAAAACAAATTAGAAGAATGGGATCAAAAACCACGGAAACTAATGGGCATGCATCACACACTACATCCAAAAAGCCATGTGGACAGATTATATTTACTACAAAAAAAAAAATCAGAGGCCATGGATTACTGCAAATATAGCAGGTAGTCGAGGAAGAAAAAAGAAGCCTAATGATTATATCAATACAAGCAGAGAAAAATTACTGAAAGCAGTGAAAATGGAGAATATTTTGAAAACAACAGAAGCAAAGTCTCAATATAAGAAACAACAATTTTAAAAGAAATTAAACAACTGAAAAAAATAAACCACTACATGGACAACATCTGAGAAATATTGATGGACAGCATGATCATAATTCAACATGGGTGCGGCTAAAACTGGGGACCCCTAAGAAAGAAACTGAAGGCTTGATTGTTGCTGCACAAGAAGAAGCACTCCAAATCAACATGAAGAAAGCTGAGATCCAAGGAATTAGTGCTAACAGCAAATGTCAACTCTGCCAAAAAAAAGAGATAAAACTGTGTCACACCTCATCTGTGAATGTCCAAAGATTGTACAAACAGATTGCAAAGTTAGATATGACAGAGTGGCAAAGTTAGTGCACTGGTCATTATACAAAAAATATAACTTGCCGGCTGTATCTGAAATGACGTTTTGAAGATGGCATTTAAGGGGACAATTTTTAATATGCAATAGATGGATATTAAACTTCATGGTGACTTTGTTCCACGGCTATAACTAGTTGCTGGAGGCAAATGTAAATGTTATTGTAAAGTCTGATACAAAAGCTTTGATCTAAGTAACATGAGAATTAGATGTGGCCCACAACAACAGAAGAACTTGAAAATTAAATAAAGTCAACAGTTCATCACAATATGGTTAAGTTCAAAGCCAAGCACAAGTTTAGATAGTAAAAGCTGGGAGGATGAAGAGACAGCCCCTACAAAAACTGGGAAAAATGTTCAGAGTGTTGAAAAGCTAAGTACTACCATCCCCACAAATTAGTATGGCTGTCTATGTCATCAAGAATAGCAAAATGTGTGCATGTTTTGCGATTCGTGATAAAGAAGCTGTCATTTAATTCTTGGAACAAAAGCAATGAGTTATTCAAGTAAATGTTCTCAGCCAGCCAAATAGCACAGCAGCTGCATCTTAAAACAAGGAAAACAAAAGCAATGTATATTGTTGCTTTTGGCTTCGCACCATACTTCTCCGATCTTTCACTGAAATGGCTGGGACAATGTGAAAAGATGTTACTTGTTTCAATGAAACTTTGAACAAGATGGTCCTAAAGGAACAGATGGATTTGGTGATGCATTTCTTGGATGAATACTATCATAAAGTTTCCACCCGCAGCTATCTAAGCAGTGTTTTTCTTCAAACAGCTATTGCTGAATACCTTTTTCTGAAGTTTCACAAAGACATGTCTTCATTATCACTTGCAATATAATTTAAAGTATCTATGGAAAAAACTGAAAGAAGAAATGGAAACTAACCTTGATTGGAAAAAAGAAGAAAAATAGTTGATCGACTTTGGGATTTGCAGCCTTCTTGTAGTATGCGAGTCTTTTAAAATAGGGTTGTAAGCAATGAAATGGGACAATTCAGTTTTCTGAAACATGTAATATTTGTTCAAATACGCCTCAGCTAGGAGGACATCGTACAATGCTATAACTGGAAGCAAACAGTTTCCCCTGACGTTTTGCTTCCCTAGGTAGCTGGAAAATGTGAGTGCCTGGATAGAGTTGTTACTCTTTGTGACAACATCAAGAAATATGTGGAAGGACAAAAATTCACTGACAATGTGCATAAAACTGCAATGCAACATTCATTCATGAAATGCAAAATGCCAGAACTACTTATTCTTCTTTTTGCTTTTGCTTTGTTTTGTGTTCCTTGTTGAAATACTTGAAAAACTAACACAGCTACAATTCCAAACTTTGTTTTGTTTTGTGTTCCTTGTTGAAATACGAAAAACTAACACAGCTACAACTCCAAATTTTGTTAAAACAGTTGCTGGAGAATATGAGCTGTTTCTTACAGAAGTTTCCAAACCAAAAACTACTGGCACCTTTTTTTTTCTGTGAAGACCTTTGTAAGCTAATCAGGAAGCTGATGGCTGAAATCCTAAGCTACAGTTCATTTGCACAACTCAAAGTTACGCAAAAAGTGTGTGCGTGGGGGAAATCACACCAAAGCACAAGGGATAAATTGTTGAATTGCACAGTAAAATTGTTTGATGTGGACCACCTAGGTGTAATTTGCTGTGTAGTTCTATAGGAATAATTTTACATTATGCCAACTTAAACAAGATTTCAGCCAAGTTGTTGCATAAAGTTGGAAAAGCTGCAAAACGTATCTTCTGGTTCCCTGACATGAAATTGCTGAGAACTTGCTTAATAGAAGAAAGGTTGACATTGACTTTGCAGCAAAGAAGTTATTGAAAGAAAAGAGTGATGTTCACTTGAGTGAACATTAAGTGGCTGAGTTTTACCCAAGAAGTTGCGTTCAAGTTGATTGAGTTCACCATGGTTCTTGGCCTATCACCTATCACCTTTTTGGTATTTGCAGAATTGGGGCTATACTTACAGCTCTACATTAGAGAAGGGCACAAATCTTGTCCACTCAGACAAGGAGGCAGGACAGGCAAACTTATGCTCCTGTTTAACCAGGGACTGGTTAAACAACCAAAGAGGAGTAGGGGAGGAGCCTACATACAGCAATTAGAATGCATGACAAAAGGTTGCTTTAACCACAATGGTCCACAATGAGTTCAAGGCTTGTTTTAACATGTAACTTGCAAAACAAGATGATGAAGCTGGCATGGATACATCTTACAGTGATATTTTGGTGACTAGCAAGAGTTTTTTAAGACCAATGGAATGATGCCAAAATATGCCTTATCCTATATCATGGTACTGCTTCTATTCAAAGAGGATTATCAATTAAAAAGTCAGTGTTAACAGAAAACTTGCATAAGGAAACTGCTGTCCATCAACATCAGGTTTATGATGATGTCTTGAATTCTGGAGGGCATGAATCCATTGTAATTGATAGAAGCCTATTGCAGTCAGGCCTGCTCATGATCACTACTCAGCTAAATATCATATGCAATAAGAAGAAACTCAGATAAAAAAAGAAACTTGAGGGAGAAATTAAATGCCTTGAAAACACTAGAATAAAACCTGGAAGAAGCCAAAATGGAAGAGGAAGCAATTGATCAGAAACTAGAAGAATGGTACTGTAGCAGTGATAGTTTTATATCTTAATTGTTTATTTAAAACAAAGGATACTCTAATTTCTAACTTGGTTTTTACTGCAATTTCAGAAGCATAAGTTTTGAAATATGGCTTCAATTACTATTTTGGACAGAACAATTGAAATATGTTTTATATAATTGTTACTATTCCTTTAAAACAAGAACAAAAATTAATTGAATTGAAATTTCTGTCTTAGTGAAATTTTAGTGCAATTTCAAAACAGATGCATCTGCAGATAATGCTTAAAGAAGCTTTTATTAAATCTCGTGCCTTGACCCTTTTTTTGCATATGAGACATCTGTAATCATAAAACCTTTAATTAATGCAATACAACCTTTTAAAAATTTGTTTGTTTAACTTGGGATGATACTTGAATGTGGTCAGGGAAATTGAAAATAAAGTTTTATTGTTTCCATAGCTAGCTTTGGCTAAATGACAAGGTGCTAGGCATATATCATATGTTTATCATGAGCATGGTCTCTTCAGTTGGCATCGCAACTCCCATGATTGCTCTTGGCATTGCACAAATTCCAGTAGGATTCAGACCATTGAGTTAGCAGGGACCCCAAGTGCCATCTTGTGACTGGACTGTAATCCAACTCACTGCCAAGGCAGCTAAATAATCCTTAAAACATGGGCATCCAAACTCTGTTTAAAAACCTCCAGTGAATACACTGTGTTTTTGTGGCTATCTGCGCCTCTGTCAAAATCTCTTCTGACTGAATCTATTTTGATGTACACCAAATCCATTTGTTTTGGTTCTACTTTCTGGAGAAGCAGAAACCGAGTCAAGTCAACGCTGCAGAACTTTCTCTAGCACAAAGTGTTGTATGGTATACACACAGAGCAGACAAATTAATCTAGAAAGAATTCCCTCAATTGAAAGAAAGCGAGTGCTTGGGAAATCAAAGTTTTAATAAATAAATAAACGTTTAGCATACGTACCTGGCACTCAAAAAAAGAGCAGTGAAAAGATCAAGGAGAACAATGCAATCAAGCTTAGATTTCTTCAGCTGCTCACACAGGTCATGTGCTCGAAAACCTGCAAAGAAAGCAATATGTGAAATGTCTCAATTTTTAGTTATGAAGTGCCTTTAGGAGCTGTAAGACTGACTTACCCATTTGGATGGCCAAGGGCAAGTTTCCCAAGCAAAGCTTTGTGTAGGCCAGTGATTGTGCCAGCTTAGCTATTATTAATAGCCGTTCTCCATCAACTTGAAGATGTAAACTACGTTCGATGGCCATTAATCCATATTTCAGCCATTCTTGTTGGTAGCCCATCAGCTGACAGCAAAGTGAGAATTCCATGTAGGAGGAAATTATCTAAGATATTGCAAATAAGAAAAAAAACATTTGTTTCTTATTTGGAACACTCTATTTGATATAATCTGCCATAGGATTTATGACGCCTGGACAAATGAGAAGTCCTCAAATCTTATCTTCACTTTTCCTTGGCCACTTTTCGTCTGTTCACCATTTTGGAAGTTAACAAGCAGAATACTTCACCACTAATTCTGCTAGATCTCTCTGTGATTTTTGCACTGGTGTTATATTAGATTGCTTTGAACTTCAGGCTGGAAAGCATGCCAATGGGTTAATTTTCACTCGATAGATTTCAGAGGGTGATGACTGGAAAGGGTGTTGACCAAAAACAAGGAGGACAAAATATTGTCACCTCAAAGGCTAACAAATTTGTTTCCATGTGAACTTTTGTAGATCAAAATTAACTTCCTCAGTCACAATGCTTGAAATCCTGTTCACAGTTTTGCTGCACAAAGCTGATGATATCATCAGTCATGACAATTTTTTTTAAGATTCCTGTCCCTTCAGCCAATGTGTCTGAGGTGTTAGGGGGTAAGCACACAGCAGTACTGAAGCAATATTAACTTGTGGATTCAGTCCTTTTGAAACTCCGAATGATTACCTTAGCACATTTCCCCTTTGTGAAAGAGTCACATCCACACTCTTCTTATAAAACAAGAAATCTTTTGTTTATTATAGAAATACACTTGAGATAGGAAACATAATAGAAGTACTAGTTCTTGCTACCTGAGCTAGAGATGTCAGGAGCCATGGCTAGAAAAAAAAGGAAAAACAGTTTCTTTTATAGAGAAAGCTGTAAGAGGGAAGAAAGTAAAGAAGCAACATCTGCAACCCCAAGAATAGCAATTAGACAGTAGGGAGGTGGCGGTGCTGCAGGGACATGGTGGTGTTGCAGGTTAAACCACATAAGCCTCTGTACTGCAAAGTTGGAAGACTAGCAGTCATAAGATTGAATCCACGTGACGAATTGAGCTTCTGTTGCTTGTCCCAGCTCCTCCCAACCTAGCAATTCAAAAGCATGTAAAAATGCGAGTAGATAAATAGGTACCACCACAATGGGAAGGTAACAGTGTTCAGTGTCTAGCTGGGCTGGCCATGTGACCACGGAAACTGTCTACGGACAAAAGCCAGCTCTACGGCTTGGAAACGGGGATGAGCACCGCCCCCTAGAGGCGGACATGACTGGACTAAATGTCAAGGGGAGCCTTTACCTTTACCTAGGTGTATCTAGAAAGACATTTGTCTTGCTGATAGTAGTTCAGTTCTGTTAATTTTGATTTTTTTCTCCTGTTGATTCCATGATGTAAACCTAATAATGAGTACTGTAGGCCCAGTCTACTGTATCACACAGATCATAAACTGATTATCCAATAGCAATTGCCTATGTTCTTGAGCCGGTACTTGGAGACTATGGAGATGTGATGAGGTAGGAAAATCTGATATTGTAAGCTGACAAGACAGAAGTGATGATGGTAGGAAATGACCCAAGCAGCTCACAACATTAAAATTCACACAGTACAACAGAATAAGTTAAATATTAAAAGATAAATTAAACAATATATGATTTTAAATACAATTTCAAAATTAAAACATGAAAATATAAAAATGATTAAAATTATCTGCTAAAGTGGGGTTCAGCGATTCAGTTGTAATTGCTAAAAGTTTGCCTGAAGAGATGGGTCTTTAGCTTTTTTCAAAAGGATAAGTGGCCATCCTGATCTCCTGAGGGAGAGCGTTCCATAACCTGGGAGCTGCCACAGAGAAGGCCCTCTCCTGTGTCCCCATCAGCTGTACTTGTGCTGGCAATAGGACAGAGAGGTCTCCTCTGCTGATCTTAATCACCAAGAAGGAACATATAGGGAGATAACAGTCCTTCAGGTAGCCTGGACCCAAACTGTATAGGGCTTTGTAGGTAATGACCAGCACTTTGAATTGGGCCTGGAAACAGACTGGTAGCCAGTGCAGTTCTTGTAACAGGTGGGTTATATGCTCCCTGTAGCTGGCCCCAGTTAGTAGTCTGGCAGCAGAGTTTTGCATTTTCAGAGAGTTGATTTAGCAAATCAAATACCTAAACTATCCAGCAGTTCACCAAAAGATCCAGCAGAATCAACAGGAATACTCGTATACTACCCCATCCACCAATATTACCATAGCTGTCTCTGTGTCCTGACTAGGCCTGCAGCCACTTCGAAATGGATATGTCTGATCTATAAAATTCTGATTTGAAAATACATTAGAAGCTTTAATACATTTCCCAAGAACAAAATATTGGACAATATTGGCTAGTAATTATGCCAAACTATACATAGCAAATGGGCACCCTGAATGTTGACAACACCAATGTAAATAGTCAAAGTGATCTACTCGATACCCTCTTGTGCCCACTGCTGTTCACAGAGAGACACCAAGCAGGAAGAAATCCCAGAATCTGACTCCTTTTTTCATTAGTTAACCACTTCTCAACCAAACAGAAAGTGATTCTTCATCCACCCATGCAGGGGGAAAACAGCTCAGATTTCAATATTTGTCTAAGATACTTAGTTTGGAAGATGATCAAATAAACTCTTCTACATTTACACTCCTTAAAATGGATGAAAATCCCTAGCACCTTTATAATAATGCATGGATAAGGAAAAAAAAAACTATTATTTTAGTTTTCTATAACCAGATTGTAAGTGTGACAAAATGGACAAAAGACCCAAACAGCAGATGGAGAAGGGGGAGGAGTGGATGCACAGAAAGCAAGCTAAAGCATAATGTTCAGACATCAGTGGGCACAGTAACTGTAGTGAGTGCATTATTCATTAGAATACTTCAGAGAAAGCACAAGGCTGAAATGAAGTCGTCTCCAGCTCTAAGAAGAAAAGCTGATTACCTGTGACTCATCTTGAGATTCTTCTGCACAGTTCACCTTCATAAGAGCTGCCAAGCGGGAGAATTTTTTGCTGCTTCTGGCAAGATCTAGGCTGAAGAGCTGCCACAACACTGAAAGGCACTGAGCTTGTTGGTATAGAATGGCCAGCTTCTTCTCCCTGCTACAGAAGATGGCAGAAGATCAGACAGGATCAGACTCCTTCAGCATATTAGCTTATTAGCCATGTAATCAACTACAAAGTTCCTAAATCTGAATGCTGCCACAAAAGTGGACACGAAACATGTGGAGATCCCTACTCATCCAGGTGCAGTTTTAGTTTTAAAATATTTGGGATCCACGTTTGAGAACCACTCATCAACTTGGTAGATACCAAATGTACAACAAAAATGAGGTTTCCTCGGACCCTGGCAATCTCTCAACATAGTTATTGGTTTGTGTTTAGCTGAGTGAATATGATGTTTTGTGAGACTTATCTAGTTTAAGGAGAAACTTCATTTGGCTGGGTATGAAAAACTGGTAGCAACTACTGGCATGGCTTAGCACAAGGGCAAGCTGCCATCCCAGGAATCTAGGAGTGAGCAGGTAAGAGAACAGCATCCAGATATGTCAGCAAGGTGGTGGAAAGTGTCTTAAGATGGAAGATAAGTAAACTTCTGAAGAACAAAACAAAGAACAAAAACAACACGTGTTGAAAACAAGAAATAAGTCCCACGGATGCATAGGTTCCCTGATACCAGCAGGAAGATTACCCTCTTTTCATAGCTCCCATAGATTCCTTGACTGCCAGCAGGGATGGGGACTCGCGAGTCCCAAGTCATTGTTGAGTCCAATTTAAGTTGCACTAGCGACTCAATTTGGATTCAACTCAGAACCATTTTACGAGTTGCATTTCAAGTCCATATTAGGGATGTGCCTCCCTTGCCGCCGCCAGGACCCAACTGCTGCCTCTACCCATGCTGATAGACTGGCATATGGGTAGAGGTAGGGGCTGGCTCTGGGAAGGGAAGTAGACCCACTGTCTCTTCGCATGTGCAGGCCTATCAACTGGGTGGTGCATGCACAGTCTGAGTCTTTGGGTCCTAGTCACAAGACTTGGGAGGCAGGGCAAATGACTCGAGACTTGGGACTCAAGCCTTGGGACTTGAGCCCAAAGTCTTGAACTCAGACATCTGACTCAGGTCTGAAGACTCAGATTTGGAACACAGGTCCGAAGACTTGCCAACATCTTTGTCTACCAGACACAGCCAAAGTGATTCTTCTTCAGATCTCAGTTCTAATGGATTAGATAAAGGGATTTTGGATAAATTGGGGAATTCACTGACATACAAGTTTTTTGTGAGTTCTTTTCAAGATAGACATCCTCAGTGGGTGTAGGACTACAAGTGCGATCATGGCCACTGGCCTGTCAGCTGGACAATGGGAACTGTAGTCCAGCACAGCATATACTGCATTCAGGATCTAAGATAATGAGAGACACACTGAGCACTTAGGAATAGGAATTCTTATTCAAGGCAACAGCATTTTCAGCTGATTTCCACCAGCACCACCCATGATTGTGACTATGCTGGCTGACATGTTGTGCTGTGCTTCTCTGGACAAGTTGTGTCTCTGCCTTTCTCACATTAAATTCAAATGTATGTGCTTGCCATGTGTATGAAAGTATTTTGCATAATTCTAAACATTGCAGTACGGGCGATATATTGTACCTAATTCCACAAAAAACAATTTAAGCCTTGAATGCTCCAAACTGGTCCCTCCAATAAAAGGTAACAAAATGTTTTAAAATTGATAGAAAATAAAATATATGAAGGTCAGTTGATTATATCTCCTACCCCAACCAGCATCTCCTCTTCCTGAGTCCCTGAATCATATAATTTACTCCAGTTAAAGTGAATTCTATGATTTCCCATTATCAGACAGTATGCATGTGTGCACATGAATATCACAGAATTTTCCATCTCTTAGCATGCAAGAACATTTTTAGGGGCCAATCTTCCTCCAATACAAAATTTTTAAAAAATCATTTGTGAACAAAGGAGGGAAAAGGTGATTAGGGGATGAGAAAACCTAAAACAATTCCACAAAGTATGAGAACTGAATTTTTTCATGTGATCCCTCTTTCTTTCGCTCTATATACCACTGCATATAGGGATAAAATTAAACCCAGCAACATTATCATTTGGATTAATTATGCTTAGCTCTGTAACTGGAAGGATCACACCAGTACTGATTTTAGAGGTGGATTATTATGGGGTAGGCAAAATGTGGCCAGGAGACTGAATACAGCTCCTAGATTGACCAGATTGTCTTTGTTTGTTTGTTTCCTTCTTTTTTTGCAAGAAATTTCAATTGAAACTCCTGGACTCTTTCAGGAGCAGTAATTATGAATCACAACAAAGGCACAGCCTACTACCTTCCCTGCAATCCAAAAGTACAAGTACTTCTGGTTTTCATTTTTCCATTGTAGTTTGTTTTTATATTTTAAGACACATTTTGGTGGCCTCAAGTTTCACATACCTTGTTTATCCCTACATTTTAAGAGGGGAAACGTGGTCAAAAGTGAGTAAGAAGAAAAGAATGTGCTGAGAGAGAAAGAGTGCAATATCTTAACTTTACAGGCTGCCACTAAAGACCAAAATGGTATTCATCTAAATGGTGCTTGTAGAGGGAGTACTAAATATTACATGAAATTCTATTAGATTATTTATTTATTTAAAATATTTTTATTCCACCTTTCTTCTTAAAAAAATACCCAAGTTAGCTGACATCATTAAAAAGACAATATTTTAAAGTACTGAATAATATTTGAAAGAATTAAAGCTCACATTAAAATATAGTAGTTAGTCTTTAAGATGGCACAACATTTTTGTCTTCTTTATTTTTATTTCTGTTTTGTTTTGGCCTGATATGTTAACACGGCAACCTCTTCTGCTTTTATGGCTTTCGAGCCTATCCATACATTCTTTTTTTAAAAGGGGTTTAGCACCATCCTACCCTCTGAGCTTTTGACGTAGAGCCTTCTTCTTCTGACGAGACAAGTGCTTTGAGGTTTCCATCATATACATGAAAAACACTCCCACAATAGTTGATGGGAAGCTTTTCTTCAACAAAGTCAAAGCCTTCTTTATCATTTTTTTCCCCAATGTAATTTGACCCATATTGTAGGACACCTGCAGAAACATGTGGGAACAATAATACAGTAGTAGTCTTCAAAAATTTATGTCCTTTTTAAAAAAAAAATCCAAAACAAAAACAAATACAAGAATACAAAATACAAAATACTAATACAATATAAACCACAGTGCACCCCCATATCCACGGGACCCTTTGGAGAAATACTTTTAATACAAACCTCCAAAATTTTGTTGCTTAGAGGCTTTTCCCTTTCCTTTCACTAATACAAATTCAATAAATCTACCCCAAATAACATAACAAATATTTGAACTTATTTCCCCTCTTTTCATCTTAAGTTCAGTAGTCAATTTATTATTTAATGCAATGTCCCATACTTCATTATACCAATCTTCTAATTTAATGTCATTTTTATCTTTCCAGAATCTAGCTATTAATATTCTAGCACTTGTCCTAAAATTGGAAATCAAGTGCTTTGAATAATAATAAAGTTCTATCTTATCAAAAATTGACAACAAAGCAATTTTAGAATTAAATTTGATATCTTTTCCAAATATATCACATACGTATTTCTTTAGAAATCAGTTTCCAAAATTTCTGAATCCATTTACACTCCCACCTCATATGATAATATGTGCCAATTTCTTCATTACATTTCCAACAGGCCTTAGAATAGTCTGAATTTGTTATATTCAATTTCACCGGAGTCATGTACCACCTTAAACTAATTTTTTTGAAAAAATTCCTTTATTCTTACCAATATTAATCTTAAAACTCTCATCTTCCAAATTTTTGTCCAATCCTCTGTTTTAATTTCTGTCTTTAACTCATGTTCTCAAATTGATTTCGAACCTTCTATTTCTGTCTCTTTCCTCTTGTTCCAAAATCAGGTTATAAATTCTACTTACTACTCTCTTCCTCAAACCATCTTTCTGCATGTCTTCATGTGATGATAGAAATTGTTCGTACTTAGTACATTCTCTACATTTGCCATTAGTTTTCAACCATTCATTTGTCAAACTATCTAGCTGGATATAACTATACCACAATAGTTTATTAGTTTGAAGTTTAACTACAATCTGATCCTTCAGATTTTTTTACCTTGATTACAGAATCCATTAATTAATCCCTGCAAATACTTAAAATCTTCTTCTAATTGTATTGGGAGCATCCTGAATAAAAAAGTAATTTTTAATAATTTCATTTTGATCATAGCGATTCTCCCAAACCACGATAGTTTCAATTAAGAATACTCCTGCAATTTATCTTTAATATCACTTTTTAATTAATTAAAACTTTGCTTCTTTAATTTATGAGTCACTTTAAGTATATTTATACCTAAATATTTAATATAATTACACATTTTAAAACCATATTTATTTACAAACATTTCTTGTTTGTATTTATTATAATTAAACATCATTTTTGTGTTTTTGCCAGTTAATAGTCCTGTTATTTCACCAAATTTTTGTAAATGGTTTTTAATTTTATCCATACTTTCTAATGGGTTTTTAATGGTCAATAATGAGTCATCCGCAAATAAATTAATCTTAACTGTATCATTTTTACCTAATCCTTTAATTAATTCATCATTTCTTATTGCATTGGCTAACAGTTCTATAACCATACAACACAATATTGGTGAAAGTGGACAGCCTTGTCTTGTACCTCGGCCTTGAAAAATCCGTTCTGTTAAACCATAATTATTACGTCTGAAATATTTTCTGAATATAATTGATATATAACCACAATAAATCTTCTACCAAATCTCCAACCCTTTATAAGCAGCTTTAATGTTGGCCATTCCACACAATCAAAGGCCTTAAATACGTCTAGCGATAATAAGATCCCGGATCTGTTAGATCCTTGTTGGTTTTGGGATAAGAATCGTTAATGAGTGTTTCCAAGAAGATGGCATTGTCTCTCCTTCCAATATTTTATTATAAAACATTTTAGCTTAGGTTTTTTTCACCTTTTCTCCTTAATTTTTTTTTCAGTTTGCAGGATTCCCTTATTGTTATTCCTCTTGAAATTGATTTCATGATATCCCACAACAGGCCTAATTTCATACCTCCTGCTTCAGTTATTGTCCATAATTCTATGGAATTGATCTCAGTATTAACTATCTTAGGAATTAAATATTGAGATGTGAATATAAAATTTATTCTGAGTAACTATTATATACTGCTGAAAAATAAGCATGTCTTCTTTCATCACCTTTTGTTACCCTCCAAATATCCTTCAAGTGATTATTTTTTACCTTCTTGCTCGATTTTGTGTTTCATTGAAGAACATTCCAGTCATAAAAAGTATTATCCTTTATCTTATCCATAACCATATTAAAATCCCCTGTCATAATAACATAACCCTTCTTTACCTTCTCCATTTCTCTAATAACCGTGTCAAAAAATCTCCTTGTTTATTATTAGATGTGTACACATTAACCAAAGTATATTCTTCCAAACTCATTTTACCCTGTATTATTATAAATCTACCATTACAATCTTTTACTACGTTTCACTATAAATTCACAATTTTTAAAAATTATGATTGCCACTCCTCAAGATTTAGACGTTCCAAAGTTTTTTTCATAAATGTCTATATTATTCATCTCAAGTTCATTGACTCCATCTTCTGACTGATGAGTCTCTTGCAAAAAGACAATGTCCACCTTATTTTTCTTCAATAATGCTTCTATTCTTCTTTTCACTATTGATCACAGGCCTTTCATGTTTAAGTGGCTAGTCTTATTCTCTTACCCATTTGAGTTCAAGGTCTGTCCTCCTAACAGGCCCCATGTGCAACCCCTCCCCCAACAAACTAACAAAAATACACTAAAAATTAAACTGAACATAACCCAAACATACAATACTTTACCCCTAACAACCATATTCCCCCGCCATAACTACTAGTGAGGGCACAAAATGGGGGGAGAGGGAACACCACCACCATCCGGCAGAACTGCAACCAGAACCTTGCCTCTGCTCTTTTTAATAATTTTTTTCCATTTCTTCTTAATGTTTGATAACACTGAAGCCCCCTTCTCCACCCCTCTCTCCCCTGTAATTATAATTAAACAATTGCTGTATTTTTCCATTTACAAGATGACCCAAAGTATAAGATGACCCCCCCTTTTCTAACCCCCAAATTAGAAAATTTGCAAGCTCGCACCTTTGATCCTCCCCCCCTTTCACGGCCGCATTTCCCGCTTCCTAAGCCCTGCGGACCTTAGGAAATGGATAATGCAGCCATGAAAGGGCAGTGCGCTTGCACCCTTTTGATTCTGACGCCCTTTCATGGCTGCTTCAGGATCAAAGGGTGCAAGTGTGCTGCCCTTTCATGGCTGATTAACTCTGTGGCTTCGCAAAAGGCAGGGAAAGTGGCTGCTTGCTGTGTATAAAACAGCCCTCAATTTTGGTCTAATTATTTAAGTAAAAAAATCTCATTTTATACACAGAAAAATATGGTAAAATCCATAATTATTGATAATTTTAGTTTTATTATTACTGTTGCTATCTAATAATAATATAATTAGTATAGTTATTACTAAAAACTAGGAAAAAAGAAAGAAAAAATCGATATGAATGAAGGAAGGAAAGAGACAAGAAAAGTAAAAAAAAATTAAAAGATTTGGAGGGGGGAAGACAACAGTTGGTCTGTCTTCTAGCCCTTCGGGAATCTGGTCCTTTCTGCTTCAACCTGCTGTTTTGTTTTGTTTTTGCTTGACATCAGGGTTAACTCCTGACGTCCCTCTTCCTCCAGCCAGAGTTTCCATGCCTTCAACATGCCTTTACCTTCTTCACATGAGATTCAGCATGACATCTTACCTCTCCTTTCAGACTGTAGAAAACTGACTCCTCAAAGTGACTAATTATATTCCGCTTGTCCTCTGAAGATTTCAACAGACTTTCTGCTGTGTTCAAATACATGAAAGCCTCAAACAAGAATGACACAGAACAGAACATTTACTTTCTGAATTTCTCCCTGTTATATCCTTCTTTTTAAATTAATTTTTAAAATCCATTTTCATTAGGGATAGGATTTGGGGATAGAGGGCTGGAGGGCCGGGGGAGTGGACATGGGTAGTAGAGGAAGGGTAAAATTCGAGAGAGCGCAAGGGTACCTTTACATCTACTTATACAATTCTACAAAAATAAAAATAAAAAATAACAAAAAAGAACAACTTAACAGGTTTTACCAGAATTACTATAGTTACTAATATCTTCAGTCCCTGATTGGACCTTCACATTCTTCTTTTATCTATGCTTTCCAGTCCATATTTTGAGTCCAACTATAAAATCATTCCACATTGTTGCTTCCATTTAAAAATAAACGTATTTCTGTTTTCTTCAAATTTTTCCTATAATTACGTGTATTATCAAAAGTTTCATTTCTTTATCTACAATCTCAGACATAATACTCAATTAACACCATTCCAGTTTAACTGATATCTCATAAAATACATTTTTTCTGACATTTCAACATTTCATATACGACCTTGCAATAATCTGCAATAATTTTCTCTTCCCTACCTGTTATATCCCTCTTTATCCCTGTAGCATTCTCTATTTATTTGATCTATGGTCTATGTTATGTAATATAATGGTTTATGAATATTAATGTTGCAGAGAGGTGGAGCCGAGACAGATGCTATAAGAGGCAGAGCCTGAGTCAATATTTGAGGCAGAGTGTAAGATTAAGAGCGTTCAAGTCAGTGAGGAGATTAAGAGACATTGAGTCAGTAAGAGTAGAGTCAGAGAGTGTAATAGAATGTGTAGTTTGGGGAACTTCTGAGGAATGATTAAATCCTGAAGATATTCACGAATTAATCTATGTATTCACTGAACCCAAGTTTTATTTTAAAGGACTTGAAGTGTGGACCTGAGTCTTTCTGAAGTAAACGGTGATTTAGAGATCACCTGGTGGCAGCAAGTGTAAAAGAAGAGAGTGTCTGCCTTTGTGTGCTCTGGGGGCTTGAAGGTCAAGCAAAGGGGCACGAGGGTGGACACCACAATCCCATTCTCCAGGGATTTCAGCTCTGAGAAACTGATTATTTGATAGATGGGTGGGAGTACCTGTGGCGTTCAACCAAGCAAACATTGTCGCTTCATCTCTTGTAGGCATCCTTCATCCTCGATAGACTACGGTAACGTGCTCTGAATAGAAGTATTGGAACAGCATCTAGTGTGGCTGAGAAGGCCAATTCGAGAGTGACAATCCCTTCCACACTGAAGACAAATACAATCTGTCCCCTGTCCAGCTCCCTGATTTTGCTGGTTTCAGTCTCTTCATCACAAGAGCACAAATAAAAAGAAATTGATGAGCCTACAAACCAACCTTACTCTATGCTTTTCTGCCGAGGAAACAAAAAAGAACAACCTCCATTTTGGGGAATCAGAATCGGCTGGCAAACTTATTCCTTATACCAGTAGAGTATTTCCCAAATTGGCACTAGAATTATGCATATTGGTATCCATAATGCTAAGTCTCACTACACTGTCATCATTTAATACTTTTAACATTTCACTAAAGTGCAATTTGGAAAAAGTAAAATTTAGCCACATATGAAGCATGAGTGTTTAAAGACACTTAGACCTAAAACACAGAAAAGGGAAAAGAAAGAGTAGGGAAACTGAATCGGAACCTGGAAGAGACAACAATGGACATGTCCAGCCTACCATGTAGTAATTGGAGAGATGAACATAACCGGATGCACATTCCAATAAGTAATAAAATGCCAAAGTGTAATTGCCAAGAGCCAAACAGTGTTGAGACAAGGGCACAATGACAGATTCTAGAATCTCTTCACATTGACACTCAGAGGACTCCGTGGTCTTGACACTTTTCTTGCCTGTGTCAATCAGCAAGATGATTTCATCCATCCTCTTTAGGAACTTTAATTCTGTAACTTCAGCTCTATTGGAATGGACATAGGAACAGAAAATTCAGGGACTCTTGCTATAAGCTTGGTTCTTCATCCTTACATGAAATTTTAAAAGACACCAGTACCTAGGAACAGCTTCTAGAGCCTTCATTAGGGGATAGCCAATCTGGTGTAATAAGTAGTGTATTAGATTTGATCAGCAAAGGCTCAGGCAAAAATCTCTGCACAGTTTTTATCTTAAAGGAAATAGAGGGGGACATAACATGAAGGAAGCTGCCAAAGCATAGTTTAAGAATAGGATCAAATCAGTGGACTACATGGTATCAAGAGAGTTGGTCTCTATCTCCAGTCCTCTCCCCCTGTCATGAAACTCTGCCCCTCTGACTCTACTTTTGACTTTCATCATGCAGTGAAAGGTAGGAAGCACCTAGCTTCTCCCTACACAGAGAAAGGAACACAACTGGGACCTTGTCCACACTTCATTTAGGTCCTACCCTCACTGTCTCTATAAAGAGATACAAAGTGGAATTCCCAGTTTATCTCTGATGAATTGTCAGAGGTAACAGTGTGTCTTCCTCTTGCATGGGAAAATTAATGTATATAAAAATGAATTCATAAAATAAACATTAATACAGGAGGAAGTATTTAATTACTGAAAAATCTCCTCTTGCTGGTAACATCATCTAGCAGTGACAATTTTCTGTAATTAAATACTTCCTCATACTGTTCCACATTCCTCTGGCTTTCACACAATGCTAGTGATTTCACAGGATTTGGAAAAGTCATAGGAGAGAAATAGGGACTTTATCATTACCAAAAAATTGCCCTCTGCTTGGTGACATCATCATCCTTCCACTGGCATACCATGTGTAACATGATTCAGCCACTGAAAGTAAACATCAAGAGCAGCCATTATATATATTTTGGCAGTGCCTTTTGACAGGGTCTAGTGACAATCTGTATGTAACTTATTGTCAATATTTAATACAGGGGATACATTCTTGTAAACTATTTGATAAAATTATAGTAACTCCCTAGCAGATGGTGGGAATACTGTACACATAATATATCTTGACTTCGGCAAAGCTTTTGACAAAGTGCCCCAAGTGATAATATGATTAGGAAGCTAGCTAGGTGTAGTCTGGATAGAACAACCATCAGGTGGAGAACTTTACAATTATCCCTGTTAAATTTCATTCTGTTATTTTCAGTGCAGTGCTTGAGCCTGTCAATAACTTTTTGAATGTTATTTCTGTCTTCCAGGCTATTAGCTATTCCACCCAATTTTGTGCCATCAACAAATTTGATAAGCATTCCATACACCCCCTCATTCAAGTTGTTAATATAAAGATTGAAGAGCATCAGGCCCAGGACTGAGCCTTGTGGTACCCCACTTGTTACCTCCTCCTAGTTTGAGAAGGCACCATTGATAAGCACTCTCTGGGTAGCATTCTGTAACCACCTGTGTAGCCACCTGACACTTGTTCCATCCAGTTCACACGTTGTAAGTTTGCCAATCAGAACATCCTGGGGGCCCACATTGGGACAAATGGATATAAATGAAATTGAGTTAAATGAATGAAAGAATGAATTTCCATTTCTGCTATCTAAAAATGTTTCTTATGAGCTGTTCATACTAATGACTTCTATCAATGTTATTTCTCACATTTACAATACATTCTTGGATTTGGGACAGTGTTTATGATATCACGTTGAATTGGTTAATGTAATTATGTCTGCTAATATGGACATGTGATGTTTGTTTATGGTGTGTGGTTTTAAGAAGGACAAAATCTGCTCCTTCTATCTTTGAGTGCTATATAACCAGCTGCCTCACACACACACACACACACCCAGTAATGGTAAAAATTCCCAGGAACTTGAAAGTAATTTTCAGCAAACCTAAATGATTCTTCTAAGGTGAATTTTCTCTGTCCAGCGTCTACGAAGAGAGAAGGGAGAGAGAGAGATAAATGAATCATCCTAGAACATTGTACTAGGTGTTGTAATTCCTTTGGGGGGGAAAAAGAAAGAGAGAGAGATTGCATTTCATCTATGTTTATTGATCTGAATCCAAAAGAGGTTTTACTTTGGTATGTATCATTTAAGAGTAAAATGATCTCAATGACAGGACCCATTACATGTTTCAAATCTGCACATAAAAATTTTAAAATACAACATAAAGGTGGTCAGAAGCTTAAATTGTCTAGAGCCCCTGCGCGGGGACCAGATTAATCACATGACTATGGCAGGAACTATACTATGGGGCCTTAGCTGCAAGAGTGGGCTCTTTATCTCTCAGAGAACACCAGCCAGATGCCCTACCTGCAACTCACCTGTGGACTGTAATGTTGGCACAGCAGAGGAGGACACCACCCTCAAAACCACAGGTGTGACCATTGCGGGACTCAGACTTAAGGAGGGGTGGGAGACAGGAGAGGAGTTGGGTGGACACCATAGATTGGGTAGCGTATGAAGCCCAGGAGGTGCTGTTGCTGTCTCACCACTGAAGTTGAAGAATGACTAGGAGATGGTCCACAGACGAGATCAAAGAGCCATCTATTGGGTAGAGCTACTGGTGCCACTGGAGGAAGCAGCCCTGGTCCATTAGAACCAGGTGAGGTGCCAAGAGGCTCAGAGGCTTGAGAACCAATGTCAGGCTTATGGCTGCCAGAAGAAGCACCAGGAGCAAGCAGCTCCAATGGAGAACCCCCATGGTCATCCTCCTCACCAAGTCTCAAGAAGGTCTTCTTCCCCCACCAATTTTGTGTGGAGTTTGGATGAGTAGCCCAAGAAGACGACTGTACCTACAGGCCCCTGCCAGGGACTTAGAGGGAGTGGCAGAGGAAAGAAGCCTTTACTGCTTGTCTCCAGAGACACTTGACAGTCTGCATCCAGCATCTCTGCTGCGAGACACTTTGCCTTGCCTACCTGTGAGGGGTCATTGACCTGGTGGAAAAAGCAGAGCTCCACAACTCCCAGTAAAGACTATACAGGGGTAGCACCCTAAAGACTGAGGGAGTAAAGTTAACTCAGTGGTTACCAGAGTTAAGTGTTTCATGTTAATGGCCTTGTTGGCCTGTTCCTCAGTAAAAGAGCCTATTTCTGCGACTACTCTTGGTGTTGTCATGGAATGGCACAGGGGCCCCTCACAGTAGGCTTTTTATTGTGACTTATCTGCCAACAGGCATGAAATTGCCTGTTTTACATGGCCTGTTTTAATGCATCCAATAGGACATGGAGAAACCACCAGCTAGTTGGCTGGCCGGCCAGTAGCAGAAGCTTCCTGCCACTGCTGACAGCACTGGAGTTGGTACAGCATGTAATGACATGTAATGAAAACGGAGCCACTGGAACTGCTTCCCAGCAAGAACAATGTTGTCAGCTGGCCAGTGATAAAGTAACTGCCAATGTGGCCAGTGGTGGCTGGGGGAGGGTGATGTTGTTCTTCCCAGAGGGCAGCTCCAGTGGCACATTTTTGCCACATGTTGAGCGGGCAATGACTCTCCTGTCCTGACCCCAGTACTGTCAATAGCTGGAAACCCTCTCAGCATTGGTATACTAGTCATGGAAGCCTTGGTGTAGCTTTAAAAAGTATGCTTGGGTACCATTTTTATTCTGCATCAGGGCTCATGTTGTGTGAAGTTACAGTAGTTATTGATCATTTCCTTCAGATTTTCTAAGGGGTTGCTCATATCAATAAGCTGTTGCAATAACCTGAGTGGAGCTAAGTCATACAAATCCTTCTGACCTGATTTACATGCACTGGGAAAGATGCACAATCAGTCCCTATATGCATTATTTACATGCTGCTACATGGGACTGCACCAGAAACAGAAATAGCTCCTGTGTCAGTGTGATCTCAGGGTCAAATTAGGCACTAAAAGGAATGATACGATACGATACGACGAATGTGTGTGCCCTAGGTGTATTCCCATTTTTCTTCCTTTCTTAGAGTTACATGTGTCAGGAATACGACTGGCACATTTACCTTGCAATAACCAACTGCAAAACACAGCATGTTAAATGAAATGTGAAGACAATCATGTGCGTCTCTGAACAACACTAAGTAAATTCACTGGACTTTTTAAAAAGAAACCAGGGAACTTCATATTTTTGCTTTTACTTGAACAAAGCTCATCTTTGTTATAATTTTGTCATAGTGAATAGCAAGTTCTGACTCATTATTTCTTTATACCCCAGCAGGTATTTTCTATCTGTGGTTGGAGATAAGAAGTTCTTTAAAGCTGGGGAAGGTTTTGCAATGAAATGAGCTCTAGTGTCCAGCCCTGAAAAAAAAACTCCATTAAATAGGAGTTGTAGTGTGCAGACTGGCAAAGGCTGTTGGGAATTGGAGTCCAAAACATCTGGAGGGGTCCAGGTCAAGGAAGCTCAGTGTAAGATATGCTTAGATCTGACAATAAGGCATCAAACACTTTAGAATGATTTGTAGCAAAAGAAGAGAGCCTGAATATCATGTTCCAACTAGATCAGCTCCACAATTCCCTTCTCATGTTATGTGCTTATTTTTTGATTCCAAGACAATTTTTCCTTCCCAGTTAGACTCTCAGCATCCTGTCCTCTTTATCAGTCAGCTTCACATATGACAAAAAGAGTTTGGGGTTTTTTTCCCTCTGAAGAATCCTCTCCTGCAAAGTTAAATTATGTTCAGTTGCTTCAGATGTGACACAGGCCAGGAGATGCTTCATTAGGAGAGGATTATACTCAGTTTTGGATTTTGAAGTTGGACATAGATGTCCCACCTGTCAGCTTCCCATTTTTTAGCCATCACCTGTCATTTTCTAATAATTAGCCCTTACCCCTGCTAACGGTGCGCCTTGGAACTCTCATTCTCTTCCAGTCTTCAGAGGAAAATGTGTCTAAAGATATGAAACATAGAAACATGTAGTTGATATGGTTCCAGCACTGAACCCTAGAACTATGCTTTTGTGCATATTGTGCATCCTCCAGGAGGCCTAATGCCCTCCCTCCCTGACATTGGGGCCACCTACCCTCAGGACCTCAGTATTGTCCGGGTTCAGCCTCAGACCATTCACCTGAATCCATTTCAATACCGCTTCCAGACAGCGCTGAAGGGACAAAATAGCATCCACTGTTGTTGGAGAAAAGGAGATGTAGAGCTGGGTGTCATCAGCATACTGATGACATGAATTCCCATACCCCCTGATGACCTGACCCAGTGGCCTCATGTAGATATTAAACAGCATTAGGGAGATAATTGAGCTTGCGAACCTCCACAATTAAGATTCCAGGGATCCGATGCACTCCCTCCAAGCTGCACTCTCTGGGGACAGTCCTCCAAGAAGGATCAGAGCCAGGCTAGCACCAGACCACTAATTCTCAGCTCGGGGAGCGTCCCCAGGAGGATACCGTGGTCGATGGTATCAAAGGTGGCTGAGATATCAAGAAGGACCAACAGAGACATTTTGCCTGTCGGCCTCCCTCAGCAGGTCATCAGACAGGACATCCAATGCCGTTTCTGTACCGTGGCATGGCCTGAAGCCCGACTGAAATGGATCCAGGGCATTGGTTTTATCCAAAAGGGCCTGGAGCTGGTCCACTGCCACCCTCTCTACCACTTTGCTGAGGAAAGAAACACTGGCGGCGGGCCTATAATTGCCAATTTCATCCGCCGCCAAATTTGGTTTCTTCCTAATGGGCCTAATAAGTGTCTCCTTGAGGGCAAAGGGAACCTTGCCCTCCCAGAGAAACCCATTAATTATTGCTGTGGCCTATTCTGTTGTTATAGGCCTGGCTGCTTTGATTAGCCAGACCAGGCAAGGGTCAAGGGCTTTGTCCACCATATCTGGCGTGACAGACTGAAAGAGATCGAGTTTCATCGGGTAAGGCAGAGCACTGGTTTTCAAGGTAAATGGATATTTAAGGAGTGGTTTTACCTGTTCCACTCCCCAAGTCAGTTTCCATGGTTGAGTGGGGATTTGAACCCTATTCTCCAGGGTCCTCATCCGTCACTCTATCCACTACACCACATTGGACTCAGCATTTTATTTGTAAATAAAATAGAGAAGCCCATGTAGAAAGGAAAGGAAATAATCATTTTGGAAGACACCACAGCACAGAACTAGTCTTGCAACATACTGTGATTTAAACGTATCTAAAGCCACAGAGAGACTGAGCACAAGTAACGTCCCGTTTCCATTATCACTCTCTCGGAAAAATGATCAGAGCCATTTTCATTCCCAAACCAGGCCTGAATCCAGACTGGCACAGTTGTAGATTCTAGATAAATGGACATCCCAGGAGTATCTTCCCCTGAATACATTCCCTACAAATTATGGGAAGGGGTCAGGTAGTAACTATTCAGTACTAGTTATCACAAACGATTCTAGAATGGATTACGCCCCTCCCGCCCCAGGGGTGACCGCATTACCATTTTTTTACACACTATAGACAGGCAATGATGCATTCACCACATCCAGATTCACCCAAGCATACTCCATTTGCTAGATTTAATAACCAGCTAATAAGGACAGTGATTGAGAGGGCATTTCCTCTATGTGGCCGTTATATAGAAAGATATGCAAATATTTGTGTCACAGTTTTCCTTTGTCTTCCATCTTCCTTTCATGGTGCAGGAGACTGCTGGGACTCTTCTTTCCTGCTTATGGTAGAGCAGGGATCCCCAGCCTTGGGCCTCCAGCTGTTCTTGGACTACAACTCCCAGAAGCCTTCACCTCTGCTGGCCAGGATTTTTGGGAGCTGAAGGCCAAGAACATCTGGAGGCCCAAGGTTGGGGACCACTGTGGTAGAGAATGAACTAGGCAGATTGCAAAGAGCATCAAAAATTTGTGGTATAGGGAAATGCCCTGTTTACTTGTTGGCTTGACCACTGCACCCACATTGTAGAACATCAAGGAAACTTAGGAGGAGCTACTCATGGGTACACGATCATTTAAATGCCTCACATGGCTAGTGCAGTAGCTCCCAAGTGCAAACAGAAGGAGAATTAGGGAGAGAAAAAGTGAAGGCACAAGGCTTTTAAAATGATTAAAGAAGAAGGGAGGAAAAGAAGCAAAATGCAACAGAAGAGGTAATGCACAGGAAAGAGATTAAAAATAACTAGTTAAAAAAACACCTCCATGGGCAAATGCCAAGCATGGAGTGCATGGAGCTGCTTAGGGCTGTCTTAATTTAATCACCATGGGACAGCTCCAAACTAATGAGTTTATGATTGATTGAGAAAACCCTTGCTACTTGTGCAATTTGTGGTGTTATGAACAACCTGGTTCAAAATCCCTGTTTGGCCACAGAAACTCACTGCTGATAGCAATTGGTAAACCACTCCTCGAACATCATACATGTCTTGAAACTCCTGTTAAGATTTCCATAGTTCAGAAAGGACTGGCTGGCTCATAACAATCGGATTTGTTTAACAGAATGAACAAGATGCAGTACAGCGGACCCTCAACTTACAGACGGCTTGACTTACAGACTTTTCGAGTTACAGACTTCTCTGGCCATTTAGGTTCAACTTGCAGCCAGATAATCAACATGTAGATGTTTGTATTTTTAGTGGGGCACTTTTAGTGGGTGGGGAGTGTGAACGAGATACTGTACAGTGGAACCTCGACTTACAGACTTTTCGAGTTACGGACTTCTCTGGCCGCAAAATTTAGGTTCAACTTGCAGCCAGAGAATCAACCTACAGACCAGGAAAAAACTAAAATGGAACAAAAATGGAATAAAAACGGGCGGTTACGGGATTAATCGGTTTTCAATGCATTGTAGGTCAATGGAGATTTGACCTACAGACTTTTTGACTGTAGCCACTGTTCCAATACGGATTAATTCCGTAAGTAGAGGGTCCACTGTAGATCATAAGACAGCTCCATGCTTCCATAGCAAAAGAATGGCTCCAGGGGGTTGCAGCTGAAGATTCATCTTTTGAGATCTAGCCACCTGAAAACACTTGCACATTTTGGATCCCAGGTGGAAAGTAAACATCCAGCAATGCTTCTATACTAGTGGTGTCTCCATTGCAGAACCTATCAGAAGTTTTGAGCAGTGGGTGGAACAGTCAGGAGAAACATAGTGGTGTCTCCATTGCAGAACCTATCAGACGTTTTGAGCAGTGGGTGGAACAGTCCCCTCTCTGCCTTCCATGTTAGAATCTGTGAGAATTACAGGCAGCAAGCAAAAGACAGCCACCTCCCTTCTAGGCATGGTCTAGCTTCTCAAGAGATGTTACAAGTACGTTCTTGTCAGTGTTCCTGGGACAGCCTGGCACAAAAAAGAGTTAATGTGGAGAGAGAAGGTAAAGAAAATAACAACATTTAGCCATGAAAAGCAGAGTATCATCCCAAACAACCAAAATACTAAGTGAAAGGGAGCTGTGTATGAGGGGGTGAAGCGAATGATTATCACATTTGTGGAGGACACGAGGTTGGGTGGTACAGCAAATAAATACCCTGGAAGACAAGCAAAATTCAAAATGATCCTGAGCATTGAGCACTGGGCTGAAAACAACAGAATGAAATTGAGCAGGGATAAGTGCAAAGTACTACACCTCGGAAAAAGAATCCAAATGCACAGTTACAGTTACGGGGGATACTTGGCTCAGCAATACTACAAGTGAGAAGGATCTTGGAATTGTTGTCGATCACAAGCTAAATATGAGCCAACAGTGTGATATGGCTGCAAAAAAGGAAAACGCTGTTTTAGGATGCATTAACAGAAGTATAGTAGGATGCATTAACAGAAGTATAGTCTCCAAATCCCACTAAGCAGGTAGTGCCAACCTCTCATCTCATAGGCATCCTTCAGTCTTGAGAGACTATGGTAACATGTTATGTATCGAGAAGTGTCCTCTCCAGAGCATGAAGCCTGGGTAAAGGAATATGGAGGATAGGCTGTTACCCAAGCAGCAAATCCCGCCTCTCCACATTGCTGAAATGGTCCAATGAAAAGGCAAGAGCCAATACAACTGGTTCCAGCAACATCGCAGGAGTTGGCAGAACGATAAACTGCCTTCTGGACTCCAGCTCTGGATTTTGCCTCTAGGTTAACTCCTGAAGCCTTTTCCATGAAGGAATATAGCCACAATGCAGTGGAGGTTTGAAATTGGAGTTTTCCTTCTACTAGATGGGCTGCCTTCCATGGCTGACAAGCCCCACCTACCTGGCCTGCTCTCTAATAGTGCGGAAGTATGATCCGACTCTTAAAACTTTCCTGCCTCCCAGGTGTATGCAATGCTAATTGGTTTTCCTATTTACCATATTAGGGTCATCATTTAAGGAGGGAAAGCCCCACCTCCTAGGCGATGTGGTGGGGGGGAGCAAAAGAAATCCCAGCAAAAACAAACTCCTCAGCAAAATATCCATGTAGGCAAACCTGGTCTTCATCCTCATCTCAGCCTCCTAGGGAAAAGGGCCCAGGTCCTGGCACACCCTCATTTAAGGAGGAAAGCCCCACCTCCTAGGCCATACAGTGGGGGGGGGGGGAACAAAAGAAATCCCAGAAAAAACAAACTCCTCAGCAAAATGTCCATGCAAGCAAACCTGCAGGTAGTGCCAACCTAAAGTAAACCTATACCTGCTGCACTTGTTTCTTGTGGGGCTTTTGTGTTTTTGCTGTTCTTAATGGGCTTTTACAACTGTTTTTACCTAACAGTTTTAATGCCATAGCTGTTTAACTATTATTTAATAGCATAATAATTTATTGTGTGTGGGTTTTTTTAGCTCTTAACACAGTTTTTGTCTCTGTAAGCTCCTTGGGTCCTTTCCAGGAGATAGGCAGGATGTAAAATGAATGAATGAATGAAAATCTTTGTTGTTGCTTCTGCTTTGCATTTCTCATTGACATTTACTATTTGTTCTTTATGAAATTATTATGCCTTTTGCCTTAGGCTTCTGCCATCACCCTGGAATGTGTCATACGGGAACTGAATCTAATCCACATTAAGGAAAAATGATTATTGCACCACCATTTTCAAAGCCTTATACCATTTAAGACTTTCAATACTACCTTCAAAGGCGGTGGAGTCCAGTTTTTTTAATGTTTCTGAAACAATCTCTCCAGCAGCCTCAGTCAGCCTTCTTTCTTGGGTTTTCTCAGGTTTTGGCTCCAAGGAAGATATGTTTTCCAGAATGCTGTCCACTGCATACCGGTGGAAGGAAATGAAGTCTCCCTCCCCACAGCACTCACATCGGTGAGCCCGCAACGCGAGGTAATGAGCACATTTGAGATGCAATGCTTTTTTCTGACTCTTCAGCCAGAGCTCATAGGCTGCTTCTTGTAACAATGGTGTGCAGAACCCCATGACTTCACTCTGCATCACCAGCTCCTCTTGCTTGAGCCTCTTGAAAACAGTCAATGCAGGATCTGAAACAGAAGGCAGGATTTAGGCTCACTCTTCTATCAAGAAATGCCTCCATCACCCATGTACTACTCCTAGCATTTGAAAGGTTCCTTACAGGGCAGAACAGAACAAGCACCACTGCTGCTTAGATTCTACATCAGGGGTAGGGAATTACCCCAGTGTACCTCAAAAACTTGAAGGAGATTTCCTTCAACTTTTTTTTCCAACCCATTCAATCCACCACAAGGTGGGAGTGGTTCATCTGTGCCAGCACTGCCATTAGCCATGTGAGAACAGCAGTCTCGGTGGGGGTTGCTGAATTAAAAGCCTCTCTCAAACGCAACTCCTGTGACCTCTGTTATGACAAAGCCTGGAGAGGCATTGTCTTTCGGGTTCAGCACTCCTGGATCTCAGCAGGCAAGGAGGCAATGTTTGAATATCTCTAGATCTGCACACTAAGGTATGAATGTGCATACAAGTGTGTGCCCCAGCAATCCAGCCTGCAGCTCCCAGGCTGAAAAGATTGCCCTCCCCATTCCTGTTCTGAAAATACATTAAGACAGGATTTTTTTCTCCATTAAGGCTGGCTGTCCCTAAATCCTTCATGCTCTGGTATCATAGTCTTTCTCACATTGGTTGTGGGAGATTATATAAGGCATATGGATATCTCTCAGAACAGGTACTAACCAAAGCTTGCTCTCCTTGGCCCTCACAAAGGCCAAGCTAGAGGCTTAGCAGAAGATAAAGGCTAGCGATAGAGTCCTGTACATACATCATGCATTTAAGATACGTTCATCAACATTTTAATATGAAATAAACATACAGGAACCCCTAACAATTTCACTATATAAGGCTTGCTTATCCCTCAAGAATTCAAACTGGAGTGTTTGAATATCTCTTTTCTAAAAATGTACCTACCAGACTCTTCTCCCATGGATTTCATAACTGCGGAGCAAACGTAGAGTTCATTGGAGACGACATCCCATTTTTGGGTGGCAATCCGTTTTTTTTTCCCTCTGAAACACTGGAAGATATGAGATTCCACCAGGGCTGCCAAGGTTTGGTTCATTTTCACCTTGGTCCATTCAGGGAGGATATGAAGCAAGAACTCAGTGGTAAAGGTTACGCCGATAATGGATGCACACTTTACCACCATCTGCTCTGAAGGATTCATGTTGTCCAGTTCTGCCAGGGCAATTCCTACGCCGCAAAAAGTCAAGTCACATGGTCAGAAATGTAATGAAGGCCAGAACTAGAAAATAACTAATTACAACTAACAAAGTTGTCTGCATCTAATTACTTTTGGGTGTAATGTATAACAATTAGCAATTTGTTATTGTTTATTATTTTGTTATTATCATTTTTAAATTTGTAGAATGGGAATAAGCTGTTTTTATCTACTGTTTCTTATTTTGATATCTGTTTGCTTTTTTTTTCAATACTGTAATAACTTTTTTAGCTTTTAATATTGGTTGTTTCAATATTATCTTGGGTCCTCTTGAGAAAGGCATGATATAAATATTTTAAATAAATAAATAATAACTACAAAGTTACATTTTAGGTGTAATGAATAAAACGTATGTTACTTTGGTATATTAAATCGAACATAGTTACTATTAAGTATATTTTAAGGCTCACTGAAAGAATTTTCAGGTGCTGTTGCCACTGTCTAATCAATCAACAGGCAAAGGAAACATTTATTGGTGGCTGATGTATTATGTGCCCAACCATCTGTGCAGCTTTGAGTAAGCCGTATGATCCCACAGGACCAAGTGGTAAACCACGTCTTACTGTTTTATATCTAGAAAAACCCATAAGGGCTACCAAAGTAAAAAATTACTTGATAGCAAGTAATTTTTATGGTTGTTATAAATATTTCCAAACTGCAGAGTCAGAAATGGCCAATATTTATTTATTTTATTTATTTGTTATATTTACATCCCGCCCATCTAGTCATTCAACTTCTATGGGTGGCATACATCAGACAAAGTAAACAATTAAAATAACATCAGTATCCAAGAATAAGTAATCATTCAAGATGGAAAAAGACAAAGAAGATAGATCAAATAGTGCCCGGAGGGAAGGCCTTCCTGAATAGCCAGGTTTTTAATTGGCTTTTAAAAATACCCAGCGAAGGGGCCAAACGGATCTCTGAAGGTAGATTATTCCATAACCGAGGAGCCACTGCCGAGAAGGCCCAGTTTCTTGTTTTTTTTCCTTCCGGGCCTCTCTCGGCATTAGGCTCCTCAGTCACACCTCCTGACTAGATCGAGTGATGCAGGTAGATTTTGGTGGGAGGAGGTGTTCTGTCAGATAGCAAGGTCCTAAATCATTTAGGGCTTTGTATGTCATCATTAAATCTTTGAAATCGACGCGGAAGCGCACGGACAGCCTATGCAATGCGGCCAGAGTGGGAGAGATATG